GAAAAGTCCCAGTACTCCTAATGGCCAGTCCGCCCCTGCATGGCATTACATTTGAAAATTAAAACTGAGTGTGTGTATATGACTGTGTGTATACACTGACAATATTTATGAATGTAGGCACGTATGTATGTATATCTTTATATATGTATGGGTATGTGCATATATTTATATATGCCCTCCATGTATTTATCCATTTATTTTTCAGGTGAGTGGACAGATGTTGGGTGTGTGGTCCTGTGTTTTGTTGGTGTATATTTAATATACTTCTAATCGCTATTTCAATCTTTCTAATTCTCTCTGTGTTTTTCTCTCTTTCTCTATTTTCTCTTCACTTTAAAAAAAGTCACTGATGATGAATAAATAAATAAACTAAATAAACTAATAATATTTGGTTTTGTTTTCTACGGAAGTTACAAAAAAGGAAAATTAAAACTTAACTTTATTGTCTCTACTTGAACATTAAAATCCACATGATTTGTAATAATACAGGCAAACTGGGCAAAAATCATTTACATCTATTTGATAATTAAACACATTGATCAAAGCACAATTATGTCATAGCATAGATTCAAATTGAACAAATTTTGGTAATCTAAATTAACAAACTTTCTTATAATTATAATTAGCTGAGACCAATTGGAGCTGTCATCTCACAGGAGGCTCAGGTAAACAGCACAGAATGTCACAGTAAGATTCAAATTTGCAATTAGCTACAAACATATTTCAATTTTACAGAAAGAACAGGAGAGGTGTTAGTAAGTGTGTTTCCATCAAGGCTTTTTGACGCGCATTTAGAAGTGTCACATTAAAAATGCAAAAAAAAAAAGTTGGATGGAAGCAGCAAAATTCGAAAAAAAAAATCCTCAATTTGCTAAAAAGTTTTTACACTCGCTTGAGGTGGTTTTTGGGTTTTTCGAAAAACACTTAATGCGCAAAAGGAGAGATGGAAGCACTTTTGCCGAATAAGTTGTGACATAGCAAACATTTACCTCACGTAGCTGATCAGATTTTCCTCGGTACCGGTACCAGTTTCGAGTCGGCTGCAGCTGCGACTGGCAGAAGGACCCTCCTCCCGCTGTCTGCGTCTTCTCAGTAATCCCGTAATGTGAAGAAAATTGCATTTCTTTCTCTACGTCTCTAAACAGTAACATCGCCAAAACTAGTTGATAACAGAATAATTACAACTTTCCTGATAGTAGCAACGCRTTCCTGATAACTTCTCTCCATTATCCTGAGATGTGTGGACCCTGCGAATTTAGCGACGGTTACTTCCTGTTAACTACGCTCATACGTATGATGTAATTGATTTGCTTCAAGCCAGTTGATAGAAACTCCGTTTGATTCCCATTTCTTAATTTTTTTCCTTTTTGCGAAATTATTAAAATTAGCTCAAAATTCTAATTAAAATTGGATGTAATTGGATGGAAACACAATTAATGTCTGTTTTGGATAACATGCTATATAAATGAATGCATTTGAGACTGCCTCATTACACAGATTTTGTACCACTGCCCWGTGTGACATGATGTGTGTCTGCAATTGCAAATAAAACTCAGCTGACCATTCCACAGAGTTCTTTTCATTCTTGGACCATGTGTTTCTGTCTTGGGTAAATAAAGATTTCCACAACAACACATTTGCTCTAATGCTGGTCATACAAATACTGTATATTTCAATAATAATATTGTTTTGTTCCAAAAACTAAAGCAGCAGAAAAAGCTCATCAAAATAAAACACATATTGTGCTCCTGCACCACCTRATCAAATTTAGACAAAACCCCTGTCCTGTTTTCTCTACAACCCACGCACCTGTCGGTTGATGATGTTGTCTCAGTGACTTGGGTCAGTGTTTTGCAGGTGATCACCAGACTTGTCTCTCCTCCCTGCTCCTCCTTCACTCCTCCACGTATCTGGACTGCTCCTCTCCAGCTAAYGTAGCATCCACCTGCGCGAGCCGCGCCTCTTCCTTCTCTCAGGACATTTTGAGGCAGTGAATATCCTTCTACAGGTTCATCTTCAGGCAGCTGGTTCAGAAAGTTCTGCTACCTTTGGTGGCTTCATATTCTTATTGAAACTCGATCTGACAAATACAGTTTGTTCACTTTAATGAGCACCGCTCAAAACCATCTTCCCGACCCGATGTGTTGGCAGCTGTCAGTCAGTCATCACAGTACACGCCCCAAAACTGACAACACACATTCTGATTGGTCAGAACGTGGAATACTATTAGTTTGAACCAATCAGCGGCCAAAAAGATGCAACTGTAATGATAGGCGTTAACTCAGCTCTGAACGCACTGCAGGAATAAAAACAAACAAAACAGTTTGAAAAAACAGGTGAACCTTTTCTTGTTTCCCTCAGCTGCCCACAGGTCGTTCCTGTCTGTATTTTTCAGCATTAGGAATGTCATATGTGGCGTGTGTAGTGTGAAGACAGGAAAATGCATGTCTCACACTCATTGCGTGAGACACATGCTTGAGAGCTCTGAATGTAGGCACACACTAGTGGGCAGGCACACACTGTGTGTGCTGGGGCACCCCCTGTGGGCAAGCCACCGCTGACAGGAATCAACTAGCAGACATCATTTCACAATGAGAGAAAACAAACAAGGCAGATGATGAAAAAAAAAAGCTTATTTTGTCTGCCTTTGATTCGTCCCACAGGTTCAGGCTGTGACAATGATGGGACACCATTGTCCTCTCACACTTCCTGTGTCTGCTGTTCATTGTCCAGCTCATGTCCAGCAACYGGCACCACTTGGTGCAGCACATCTTTGAGACTAACCGACTGTCTTTAGTTCAGTTGTCATGGAAACAGCAACAAACGTGCCAAAGACACGGAAACGGCCAGAGGTGGGAGTGTGTTTTTCGGAACAAGGCATGTCTCCTGCTTTTCCCCCTTCCTGACCTCTCTGCATCCTCCTTCCTGAAAAGGAGGCAACATGTGGGAGGCTGTGGCTGAGTGGTTTGGGCAGTTTTCCCTACAATGAGAGAGTTGGCAGTTCAATTCCTCGCCATTCTGTCTCATGTTGAAGTGTCCCTGTGCATAACACTGAACCCACACTATCGCTGATGTGTGTCCTATCAGTGTATGAAAATGATTTAAAGCACTGACTAGTTTTCATAAAACAATTTATCTGGTTTAATTTTGTAGAGAGATATAGATAGAGTGCTGTGTGAATGTGAAGAAATTTATAGTTTAGTACTGATTAAATACAACACAGAGTTAGGGTTTTCTATTTTATAATACCTTTATAATGTTTGTTATATTTCTTACAATGTGTTAATTGAAATAG